ACTTATACATCATTTATATTTACTTGATTTTTTTTATTTTAAAAAAATTTGTATATATATATATATATATATATATATATATTCTAGAAAATTCAAGAAAGAGAAGGTGCATAAGATATTTAATATTGAGGAATTTGGCTTGATGAATTTTACACCAACTTTTGACATGTACATCTAAGACATGAAGGTTCATCAAGAGCTATAATATAAGGTAATGTCTACATTATCTAAAAAGAGGCTTTATGATATGCCAATCATAATGTATATAATGTATTCTCGATTGAAAGAGTTTAATTTGTTAATACAATTATGGAAAGGTATAAAAGAAGAAGTAGAAATTTGTATTTTTTAGATATAAGAATTAAACTTAGTATTTAGAATGTAAAAAAAATGGTTATTGCACATGCATTATATAATTGGCTTAGTCTTTTATAGTCAAAGGACTTAACTAGCAAGTTCTATTAAAATGCATAGTCTTTTTGTGAATTCTATGTTTGAAGATTTTACAGCATGCCAAAAAGAATTAGAATAAAAAATACATGAAGCAAAAGCTAGAGTGCCAAAAATTATTATACAAAGTATGTTGACATTAGCGTGTCAAGCAATTCGATGAAATGGTAATAATATAAATTAACAACTTTAAGAAATGCACAATTGAAAAGTTGTCAAAATCCTCCAACAAGAAGCAAGAAAAGAACCATTGTTTTTGTATGATAATAGTAAATAAGATGATAAAGAAATCCCTCTTATTATTGTTGATTTTTTAAAAATATACATGTTTGTTTTGAGCAAATAAAATCATGGATCAAGATGCCTATCTATTCAACTTAAAACAAGTGGAAAAGAATAGATTTTGAAAAAATTGACATTTATATAGATTAAGTGAGTGTAATTTGCTACTGTACTAAATAATTTAATTTTTAAAATCATGTAGTGAATTTAAAATAAAATATTAGAATTTTATTATTTTTATTATTTTACAATTTTATAATTTTGAATTATATTATGTCTTATTTTATTATATTATAATAATATTATTGATAGATATTTTTTAAAAAAAGTTTTCTAATAGATGTCAAGTTTGACAATTTATTATATTGTGAGCTCCAATCATGCCTTCTTATTTTTGAAATCCTAGTTAGTTTTATTGATAAAAACATTCTATATAATATTTTAGAAGAACATCAATTTTTTTTTTAATGTTTGTAGATTTGCTTATAAAACTTTTTTTTTATTAAAATTTTAGCACTCTTTATTAAAAAAAATATATTTTTATATTTTCAATTATAGATCCAAAAAGATAAAATTTAAATAACTCACAATTTAAAGTATATATTTTTTAATTAAGTTTTTTACAACAATATTTGTATATTATCTAAATTTTAACTTATTTTATAAAAAATATAGTCTAAATGTTTCTTTAAATATATTAATTTTTTCATAATATTATTTTTTAAATTAAAGCATTAAAAAGCTAAAAATAATATTGTCTTTGTGTAAAAAATACCATGGTAATATTATTTCTTTGTTACCTAAAAAAGAATCATAATTTATTTTTGTCTCTTTTAATCCTAATCACTTTAAAAATATTATGTATTTTTAAATTATTTCCATATAAATTTTAATTGATTTTTATTCAATTTTAAATATTTATTTTTTATTCAAAAACTTCTACTCTAATATAATCATATAAAAAATATGTAGACGACATGTTAGATTTCACATACACACAAAAAAACATATTCATCTCCTACCAAACCTATATAAATAATTAAATAATTATATTATGAATAAATTCCACTAGTCCAATTAGTTTACAAGGCCAACAAAGTACCTTAGTTTCATTGTATCCATTTGAATGAGCTATCCTTACAACACCCATCACTTGTCAAGCTGAAGATTGACAACTTTTTAGTGCATCACCACTCTAAAGTATTTAAGCTTGCAGATATTGTGTGCAATCTGCAAACACCTGTGTGTGATGGTTTTGGAGTTAGAAAAATTCATCTTAGATCTCATTATTAAAGGAACATGGGAACTTTGAACTCATGACCTCAGTAAAGGATACTAGGCTCTCAAAAATGCAATTTGAAGACTCTAAGACTATTGAAGACCTGCATTGAAAAGAGTCTTTGCCGCATCTTGCCAAAGTTTGTGGCGAATCCAATTCATAAATATTTTCCCTTCAAAGTAACAAAGATGCTATTTTGTGCAGAAGCGTAATTTTTCAACGCAACTTTCCAATTCTATATAAGATCATGTTATTCTTTGCTTATATAGGGAGAGTTGATCTTGTTGGCAAGTCCAATTGTGATTGAGTAGATTGTAGTAATGAAGCATGGCAATAAACTAACATATATATATATATATATATATATATTAAATTACAAATTATTTCTTATAGAGTAGTAACAACTATGTTTTTTTTAAGAAAAACTAATTTAGTAATATAATAATAAAAGACAAGTATTTTTTAACTATTAAATTAGATAAATGTAGGATTTTTCTATGATAATATTTATATTGTAGAATATCTTTTATGTTATATTGCTTATACTTTTGAATTAATTTGAGCCATATATTTGATTCTACTAATGACATAGTCACTAATGTTTGTTTTTTATTTTCTTAAAAAATTATTTTTTTAACAAATAAAATAAATGAATAAATAAATAAATATAATTAGGGGCAAAAAAAATTAATTGTTGGCTTTTTTTTAATTTTTTAAATAAATTTAAAATAATTCTTATTTTATGATTTAAAATTAATGTATTGAATAGTTCATCTTAGAAATATCTAATTTAAAATATATATATATATATATATATATATATATATAACCATACTTATCTATTAATTTTATAAATATATTTTGGTCTAAACATTTTTTAGTATGCAGTGGATAGCTCACAATTTAATCATGAAGATAAAGTATACGAATCTTAATAGCAATTACTAAATTTATTTTTTCTGATATTAGTTAAAATTCTTGTTTTTTTTTAAAAAAGAACTTCAAAAATACATCAATTATCTTTTTTATTTGATTATATTATATATTTATATATCTTTTTTAGTTTTTAAATCCACATTATACATTTGTACCCAAATATTTTCACTTAATTTTGATAAAGATCAGTATAATAACAACTCAACACAAATAAAATTTACTTTCAATTACCAAGAGTGGCTATGTACGCCTTTATCTTAAATCGGAAAAATAAAAATAAAAATAAAAATAAATCAATGTCTAATATTTATATATTTGTCATGTTAAATTGAATTTAAAAGAGTTAAGAGCTTATTGGTAATCTATATGTATAAATCAAGATTTATAGTTTATTTTATATGTGAGAATTTAACAACCAGTGCTTGGATACTAAAACAAAAAATCAGTGAGTAGTTATAGGCAAGAAATATAACATAAATATTTCTATTGCAAAGAGACATAATATCTACAACCAAATATTCATATATATATATATATATATATATAACAAGTATTAAGCTATTATTTTGATACATTTGTTTGCATTAGCGTTAGAAGATGTACTTAAATAGTTAGTATTGTTGAAGGTATTGGATTTATTTTGGCTTGTCTAAGTACTATAAAATAACTATTTGATAAATAAAACGCATAGTTAGACATTTAAGATCAAAATTATTTTGCTTTTAAATGTCTAACTATGTGTTTTATTTATAACTATGTGTTTTATTTATTTTTTATTCTTATTAGTGATTTATTTCTTTTTATCAATTTATGACAGAATACAAAATAATAGTATAACAATTATTTTGTATTCTAACAAGTTAATCAAATATAGAATTAAGGATTATATTATAAAAATAAAAATAAAAGAAAGACAATTAGATTAAGTTTGACATAAACTTTCTCAATCTTCTACATTTAATGAAAGAAGTATTAAGATTCTTTTTAATGTCATGAAATTATGTTGAATTAGTTCTATTTGTAGTATATAAATATATATATATATATATATATATATATATATATTATAGGTTATAATATAAATAAATAAATAAATAACTGATCATATATTTTTAATTATTTAAAAGTTGTATAATAAAATGTACTTTCATATATATATATATATATATATATATATTTGGATAATCTAAAGACTGATTTTTAATTTTTTTTATAATGACATCTTTGTTTGTTTTACATTTTTATTCCTTTTACTCAATAAACTTGAAAATAAAAAAAATATCATTTTTTAGACATAAACTTGTTAATTATGTATTTTGATTCAGACACAAGTATTCCCACAATTTATCCTAATTTTAATCACCCAAAAACCTACCAGCTATGCTACAAAGAATGTGTTGTTGCATGCCCAATTTCCGGTTCATGTATGAACCACTCAATCTTGTAAAAAAGTTCCAAGTGTCAACCAAATAAAAATAAAACAAAAATTAACTCAAGTATGCCAAATGATGGAAAAAAACAAAAAAACCAACAAGAATGAGACGATGGCGTTATGCAAACCTTTTCCCAATTTTCAATGTTTTACAAAATATTATACAAAAGTTATAAGAAAATTAATAAAAACAAGAAAAAGTAAAAGTATAAGAAAGTCATGCACAAGGCGACCACCAAACAATCATGGAGAGAAAAAAGTGCATTGCGGTGTCTACTCTTCGCAGCAACACCCCACATTAAATGTTACCCCGCCCCCTTCCACCCCACCCCCAGGTAATGAACCAACCAGCCACATCAGCAGGAACAGTCCAACGGGGCAGGCCACGTCACCATTATGTCGACGTGGCGGCATATTCAGTTGGGCCAATGCCCTCGCCCAATGAGAAAGCCCAGTGCCACAAAATTTCCGAAACTGGAAATACCAGATGGGAAAAATCTACGACGATCACAAGCGGAAGATATTTTTTTAAAAAAATTAATTTTGCTGCAGAGCCTGGGTGGGGGCGGGGACGGGGCTTTGAGCTTCATCACCGCGACGTCGACGCTGCAACAGCAGTAGTAGCATCAGGTGCTGAGATCGCGAGGGAGGGGGGAGGGAAGGAAGGAAGGAAGGAAGGAAGGAAGGAAGGCCAGGCTTGCTTGCTTCCTTTCTCTGTAGTGCCCGGTTGCAGCAGCACAGCAGCAGCAGCAGCCGCAGTGCAGCGGAGTTTTGGTGTTGCATCAGCAGTAACGGGATCTAAGCACATCTGATTTTGCGGAAGAAAAGTGATTGATAGATACCTACCTACCTACCTACGTACTTACTTACTTACTTATCTATCTGCCTACGCAGGGGGTTTATTATTTTGTTTGTGTGTGAGGGTTTGATTGTTCGCTTTTAGAGGGTTTGGATATATATTTTTTTTAGTCGGGGAAGTGGAGCAGGGAGAGAGATTGTTCGGGTTAGGGAGGTTAGAGGAATGAACTCGAGATAGTAGGTTTTATAGTTTTGGGAGTGAAGAGGAGGAGCTTAGGGGGGAGGGAGTTGGAATTGGAGGGCGGTGAAGGTTTATAACTCATAGCTGAAGCTTGGCTCTGCGGGAGCGGACGGTGCGATTGCCGCTTGGTGTCGTTGCCGTGCAGTTCGTTTGCGGCTCTGGTTGTTAGGTACGTAGGTCCAGACGGTTGTGATGAAGCTTGTGTTCTTGTTCGCGTGCAGATGAAGTTTGGTTGCCTTTGCTGGTTCGTAATTTGACCTAGTTTGGTGTGATTGTGTGATGGTAACGTTGTGTTACTCTTGTTGCGTTCGTGCAGCGGAATGCACTGGTAGGTGATAGTCTTAGCTCGGTTAATGCGAGTACTTGGGGGATTTCGTAAAAAATAACTGTTGAATTAGGGTAGTGTAGATAATTTGATAATTACTGGTTAATTGGGTTTTGTAGCGGGGTCTAGGCCGGAGTTACTCGCGAAAGTATGGATAGAAGAAGAAGTGATATGTAACTTGCGGGTATGTATCGTCTTCCTGGCTTAGAAGTAGAATTTGACAATACTGGTTGAAAGGCTTTTATGTCCTTGCATGGATCTGGGATTTGAGCGTTTTGGAACTGTTTGTTGTTAAATTCTAGGAATGTTATGATTGATTGGAGTTAGGGGGAAATTTGAAGGGAGTCTGCTATTCTGCTCAACCGGTTCAGGGATGGGATGATTGCGGGAGCCGTTTAGGACTGTGAATTGATAGCTGCAATATAGGTAGGAAGAGTTTATTCAGGAAACGATACCCAACTTTTCTGTTCATTTACTCCGCTACCTTTACGTTCTCTAATTTATTTTTCCATATGACCTCGTCTGGCCTATTCGTGCGAACATGAAAGCGCAGACGCCTGACGAATTTTGTTGGACACAGCTGAGTGTAGGTCATCTAACTTTTCTTTTTTCTTTTTTCTTCTTTTTCGCATGTGTTATCTTTGTACTTTCAACTTATACAATGTGTTACGAGCATGCAATAACGTAATTGCATCAACACACACATGCAGTAAAGTAGTGGACGGAATGGCTCAGCTTCAAGATGATGGACAGTACGTGGGTGACGAGTACATGGTGGATTTTGAAGACGATGCTGAGGATCAACTGCAGGCGGCCCGTGAGAGCAACTTGCTTGACTCAGATTCAGATGATGACAGTGATGTGGTGGGTCTGCCTTTCAGCGCCACTTGAATTAAATATGGATCTCAGGAGATATATGACTCCTGACTATGATTTCGCGTCATGAACTTTATTACGTATGAAATTGCTGCTTAGCATTTGGTGCCCACACTTGGCGCGAAAACTGCACTTCAATTTGTTAATATTTTGAAGACACATGTGCATTAGATCAGTAGGCACAGGATCTGATAAATAGTTATGCTGATATTAGTCATTGTTGCCTCTGATGCTATTGACATTCTATCAGTCGCTGGTTTATTTTGTGTAAAATGGAAAGATCCTGGTTCAAAGACTTCTTTTATGTTCTTGCAGATGAGTAAACTATCGGACACGACTGCTGCTCAAGCTCGACGAGGTAAGGATATCCAAGGCATCCCTTGGGACGGGCTGCTGTTTACGAGAGAACAATACAGGGAAACTCGCCTCCAACAGTACAAGAATTACTTGAATTTGCAATTGCCGCATGATGATCTGGAGAAGGTGACCGATACCTCGAAACGCTTTCTCGTTGATATATTCTAATAGATTCACAGTGTTTAGACTTTTACGCTGTCTCCAGTTCTGAGAATTTTCTGCGGTCAAAGTGAGATCTCCAGAGGCCCTACTACGAATGTAATTGCTGAATGTGTTGCTTGTTCTCTTTTGGGTTTATTTTATTTTGTTTTATTCATTTTTTATTTTATTTGCAGGAGTGCAAAGTGGTAGAGAAAGGAGGAAAGTTTTTTGATTTTCGGCACAACACTAGATCGGTTAAATCAACTATCGTTCATTTTCAGGTCAGTCCCTCTTAGATTCATATTGTCTATGTTTTTTTTTTCCCATGAGTTGTGTGCAGGGCTTTTGGCTTTTTGTGGCGTGACATTATCAGTTGGAGTTCCATAATGTTTCGTAATGGTTTCCTGAAGTTTCGTGCAGATACTGTTCAGTGATCCAATTTAATGTTTGTGTATTAATTACTTTCCCTTGTGAATGGATGGTGATCAGTTACGAAATCTAGTGTGGGCTACGTCCAAGCACGATGTTTATCTTATGCACAGCTACTCGGTGATGCACTGGTCGCCTATCACCAGGAAAGGAACTGAAGTGCTTAATGTTGCAGGTCCTGTTGATCCAGCGTTAGAGGTAACTCCGTTAGCTGCTTGACAGCTTGTTTAGTTCGATGTTTTGTTCTGTTTAGTCTTTTTTGGAAAGTCTTTTTTATCAAAACCTCAACAAGTTTTATGTACAAGTTTCGAAACCTGTGTGTGTTATTTTTAGTCATGTACTGAGTGCGCTCATACGGTACAGGGCCTTTTTTCTAATTTTGATTTTCTGGTTTCGATTTAATTTAACTATCATTTAATTTATCGTACATGATATTTAGTAACGTTCTAGTGCAGAGGCGATGTTAAGACGTCATTAATAGTGTTGAAACTTTTTTAGTTATATGTGTATATAAAAGAAAAAATTTTCTGGGACTTGAAACTACGACACTAGGATGAATTCAATAGGTAGGTTTCGTGCCCTCTTTTTGTTCTACTCATCATGATCTACCACAATTTTTGCTTAGGCTCAGAGAAATCCGTGGCTCTATCAACATGGGTTGGGACGTGTTCAGATTAGTACAATGTGTGTGAAGCGAAATCTTCTTGTTGCTGGTGGATTTCAAGGCGAGATGGTTTGCAAGGTACGATGAACTCACGTAGCTGATTTATGTTGTATTTTGGGCATGTGAATGCTTGTTCGTGTTGCATCTAATTATGTTCACACCAAAACCATGAAGTGCTTATGCTCTGATTATGGTTGTACAGAACCTTGATCGTCCTGGAGTGACGTATTGTGCCAAGATCACTCATGATGAAAATGCTATTACCAACGCCATCGACATTTATGATGACTGCAGGTTCTTGTTAAGATGAAGTGATAGCTGCGAGCTGTGATTTTGTGTAACCAGTTTGACACTTTATTCAAAGACATATGTCTCTGCTTTTTGAGAACGAATTCATTAAGCTTTTGGTGTTTGTTGTGGTTTGCAGTGGAGCTGTGCGTTTGATGAGTTCCAACAATGACTCGGTGGTTCGCGTTTTTGACTGCAACAATTTTTCTGTTTTGAGCCGATTTTACTTCCCATGGGCTGTTAATGTAAACTCCTTTATTATCTCCTTCTGTGTGTCTCTGCTCTTGCCTGTTATCTACCAGTGTGGTTTGCGTGGAGTACCCCTTTGTCAAATTACACCAGGGTGTTGACAATGCTCATAATGCTCTAACTTTTCTTCTTTTCGGTGCAGCACACCTCTGTTAGTCCTGACAGCAAGTCTGTAATAGTTGTGGGAGATAATGCTGAAGGAATTTTGGCTGATAGTCAGAGCGGCAAGGTAAATTTTGCTTTCAAGAAAGTTTATCTTCTCTTCCTTTCTCTTCTTTTTTCTTCCTTACTTTTTTTCTTCTTTCCTCCTGCTTCTTCCTCCAAAGATCAAAGTAAAAACGGACTTGAACCAGGTAGCATTCAATAACACTGCATAACATTATATTGCCTATGATGGTTTCAGGTTATAGCAACTTTAAGAGGCCATCTAGACTACTCATTTGCGTCAGCTTGGCATCCCGATGGACGTGTTTTTGCCACTGGAAATCAAGATACAACCTGCCGCCTTTGGGATAATCGCTATCTGGGATCCTCATTAGCAGTTTTGAAAGGCCGCATTGGTGCAATACGCTCTATAAGATTCACAGGGGACGGATGCTTTATGGTTATGGCAGAACCTGCAGATTTCGTTCATGTTTTTGACACCAAGCAGAACTACTCTCATTGTCAGGAGATCGATCTCTTCGGAGAAGTAGCCGGAGTCTCTTTTAGTCCCGATTCAGAGGCCCTTTATGTCGGTGTGGCAGATCGTACCTATGGCAGTCTACTCGAGTTCAACCGAAGTCATGCTAACACATTTCTTGATTGCATCTTATGAATATCGTTTGCAATTTCGGTATCATAGGCAGATCTTTGTCACACAGCCGCATGAACATGGGTTAGTTGTGAGGTTTCGTGGATGATCATGACTTCATGGGGAGCATATGTGCGACAGTGGAACGGGACGTGTATTATCAGAAAATCAAGGCTTTTGGATTACATGTTTAGTCGTGGATTTTACTGTGGATGGGGGAAAATATGGGTGCTGTTTATTCCTTCAATCGCAGCAGGGTTGCAGATGGCACCCGATAAAGCTTTGAACTCAGTGCGTCCACTGTTTCGTCAGAGATCTTCTCTGTGAAAAGATGGCTAAGATGGCAAGGACATGGAAATTGAGATAAAATGCTGAGTTGGAACATGAACGATATTGAATATTAGCTAAGCCTACGATGCAGAAAGGTATAGGAAGAACAGGTTGATACTGCCTTGCAGTGCTCATAAGCAGTTCTGCACGTGACCCCTCTGAGGAACAGAAAAAGTGTAAGTAGGTTACTATGAGAAGTGTGGAGTCGTGTTTGATGAGGAGCTATATGCGTGGCCATTCTGGATTTAGAAGGTTAGCTATTTTAGTGAATTATTCGTTATGCTTCTCACTGTTTGAGTTGGTAGGGCTCAGCTGGGGACTTTTGGAAGCATCTTTGTAAATAACTGTGTTAACCTACAACAGTTCCAGTTTATCTTGTTTTGTATTCGTACATTTATAGTTGACTGAAATGGCGGTTTGCGGTGACTATGTTGCAAGGAACACCAATTTGGATTGGCTGCTGTTCTAATTTCTGTACAGTTTCTGTTTGTTTTCGAATTAGTGTTCTTGCACAATTTGTAACGGCGAATGTTCTTTGTTTCTCCATGTGTGTAGTGTGTGATACAATCCCGACTTATTACATACTTGGCATGTAGTAGGTCTTAAATTACTAACGCTCAAGCAAAACGCTCATCGTTTTTTTGCAGAACCTGAATCGAAGGCCCAACTCTCGCTGCACTTGTATCCGTGCCTGGTGCAGAATATGCACTTGGCTTAGAATGGCTTAGAAAGGCGGATTCGCTTTTGGAGTTCTCAATTTGTCCACTTCAGAATCGATACTTTATCTCTTGTGCATCATCTTCGAATCGTCGGAAATGAATGGCTAAGGCATTACTCAGATCCATCATGCCTGCCAGTCAGCCAAATGTGAAGTTCTTGTTGGAAGGTTCTATGCCACTTTTCATTTACTTTCAACTGGTGGCTCTTTATAGTACTCAAGTGTGGTGCCATTTTGCAACACTAAGTGAGGCTTGTATGTTGATAACATTTTTTGGTTCAAGCCAACAGTAGGTGGCAAATGAAGGGAAAAGATGAGACAAAACTATGGGAAGATATAAGTGGCCAATTTTGACAACAATTAATGCAAAAGAGTTTGATACTCTAGTTGTAATGCAATATTCCTTTATGTACACAATATTTTGTTATAAACCTAAATTGATGCACAAATACTAATAAAAACACATGTATCTCTAATGTTTAGAGTTTCTTAAATGACACTTAAGGATTAATGTGTTTATACAATTTTAAAATTTTTATTCATTAGAAGTTTTTTTTATTGTGTAATTGACACTTCATTGTCAAAAATTGGATTCTCTCTAGCATATTTATTAATTTTGTGTCTATTATTTGAGTTTTTGTTTTTGTTATAATAAGCATTTATCAACATGTTATATAATTACAAGGGAATGATAAAGTGATCCAAATTTTTACTAAAGCAACTTACTCTATTTTAACCATCATTGCACCTTTGTAGCCTCCAAATTATATAAAACTTTCACCAAAACAATGAGAAATTTATAAGAAAAATCTTTAAATGTTCCTTTCCTATAATAACCAAATTAATGCAACATCAATAATGATTAAAATTTAAATAAAAATCTGTTTAAAGTTATCTCATTCATTTATAAATTATTTATTACTTAAAATAATAACTCAAATTTTATCAAGCAAAATTTAGTATTATTTGAAAAATATAATCTGAAGTATATTTGATTATAATTAAAATTATAAATCATGCAAAATAAAAAATTAATGATAATAATAACTTTAGAAATCTTAAAACTTGCTACCTAAGACATAATGTATATCAGTATCAATAGATAAATACAATTGTGTTTAAAATCATATTTTATTTATCATTTCATTTTTTTTCTTTTATTTTGTCCAATATCATCAAAAACTAAAGAACTACGTGTATTTTTACTAAAAATAACAAATAATCATCTTCTTTGCTCTAGTACAAATCTATAGAAAATACATATATTATCCTACTTTATACTAGAAATCAAATTTTATAATTTTTTTAAAAAAACATTATATGTCTACTATAATTGATACTACTTAGAATGTATATGCTGTGTGATTGTGAATTTAAATCAAACCTTGATTGATAATAAATTTTACACTACGATTTTTAATTTATAAAAAACTTAATACATACCATACAAAAGTAATTTGAATTTTAACTTTATATATGTAATATAAAATTAAAATTATAACTTGTTTATAAGATACAAAAATTATAATATATTAAAAAAATAATCTCAAATTTATTATCTGATGTAAAATTTTTAGTAATTAATTATACTAATATTTTTAGTAAAAAAATAATTCAAATTTATTGTGTGTTTGTATATATTTTTTTCTTTTTCTTTTTCTTTTCTTTTTTTCTTTTTTTATTTAATTTATCAAAAGAAACTACACCATATTAAATATGTCAAATCACGTTGAATTTTGAAATATCACAATTTGATTTCAAAAGCATATCAAAGCTTTTTATAAGTAAGATACTACAACCATACATGTTTAATAGTATATATATATATATATATATTTTTTTTTTTTATAACATAGATAGTAAGATTTGAGGCCGAAAAATTCAATAGTTGTTTTAATGATTTTTTCTCTTAATAAAATTTTGATTTACTACTTAATCAATCAAAAATGTATTTAGCTTTGCTTGTAGTCAATAAATCTTGTTTTGATATATATATATATTTTTTTATTCTTTCGATTATTGGATACAAATAAATATTTTCTTATTTATATTCTACCCTTGTATTATCTTCTTTAACCATGCAATTATTTAGTTCTTTATCATACACAAGTTATTTGATTTGTACATGTTTTTTAATCTATATTTGTATGTATGACTTATTCTACTTCATTTTAAGACTTTTTAATATCTCAAAATACTTTATATAGAAGTTATTTTTTTAAATTTTGATAGAAAGGAATTAATGTATTTTAAGTTGTAGTAATTAAAACAAAAATTAAAATTTTATTATTTTTTAATTATAAGTACATTATTTTTTATATTTTTAATTACAATATCTAAGTTTGATGGTCGTATTATAAATTTTCCTTCTTTTACCACAACTTGCCACCGACTTAAGATATTTTTTTAGTTTTTTTGTTTGTTTGTTTGTTTGTTTTTTTTTTTTTTTCGTTTTTTTTTTTCAAATCAATTTTTTTAATCAAATGGTTTGAAAGATATTGAATAAAGAAGATTTGATTGGTTTGAAAGGTATTAAACAAAGAAGGCATGTGGTAGATGAGAGGTTGTAGTGGCATTAGTAACAATTTATGTATGTATGTGTGTGTATATATATATTTGTGAATGATAAACTTATTATATGCTAGTTCTACATTTTTATGAAGATGACAAGGATTGCATGTAAAAATATGTAATTATAGATTTAGAATGTAATGATTTTTATTTTGTGCATTCTTTTGTTGGAATTTCAAAAGTGGTTGGAATAGAGTTAGCCATGATGTAGTGTTTTGTCATTGTGGGACACATGTACATAATCTTATTGATGATTTATTTATTATTATTATTTTTATTTATTTAAAAGCTGCATAACACATAGTTGGACCTCCCACTAAGTTTCCCGGTTTTAGAAATTTTTCAACAAAAATATCATAATCGAAGAAAAGAAATTGAATTATAAGTAGGTAGAAGGAAAATAAAAAAATAAAAAAGAAGAAAAAGAAGCTACTGATTTTTTAAAAATAAATTAGGTACCATACATATTGAGGTCTATAATTGTTTGTCAATTTAAGATCATACGCCTTTAATATTATCATTGTTACTATTATTTTTCGTACTGATACTGATCCTAATATTTCTAGCTGCAACAAGTTTTATAACTTGCACAACGAGCCAAATCGCACAGGTTTGCAAAATTCGGAGAAAAAAAAATTGGTATAAATAATTGTGCGATCAAATTTCAAATCCTTCACACATGATTACTCATTCTTAAAAGAAATTCCCTTTTCTATTTACCAAGTTATGCACAACCACTTATATACTTTTGAAAATTTTCATGACGGACAGAAAGGGAAAAATCATCTTTGAATGGGACTGTTACAGATTTTTTGTGACTAGCTATCCGTACATACCTGTTCATATATACCCATATAAATATTTACATTCATAGACCAAGTCAATTCTAACTGTATGTATAAATGTGATTTAACTGAGTACATAGAATTTGCATCGAAAATTCATCCCAAGTCAACGAAATGGAGCCATTAAATTTCGGTGAAGAGGGTTCAACGATCACTGCCATGAAACAGAAAGTTCGGCACAAATGCTGAACAAGAACACGTAATCTTGTTATTACTCATCGGCTAGCTCCGGAGAATGGAATACTTCGAGAGTACTGGTATACACATGATTTTCTTTTTATTTTATTTATAGACGGATTTTATTACAATCGACGAATGGTCACAAAATCGTCGATGACACCAAGCATTTTTAAAAGTGAAATGAAATCAATCTTTGAACAGTGCCGCATTGGACGTTTCGATCCAACATCTGGACAATTCGTATCCAGAAAATTGCCGGCTGACCCCCAGAGACTACTGAAAAGGGAACTCTACAGTTTCTACAACCTCATCATCCCAGAGATGAGCGAATGACAAGAGATTTCAACAGTCTTGCCACATCCGTAGCTAGCTCACGAGATCAGTTCTGGTTTTTGTAGGGGGGGACGTTTATCTACATTGAGAGAGCAGCGGCAAGAGCTCCAGTGAGAGCAAATACCCATGTTCCGATGGCCAAAGAGGAAGCGGCGCCGATTCCTGAACACACACACACACACACACACTCACTCACTTAGTTTATCTCGCTGACAGTGCTTATTCAAAAGTTTTGTGAAGTGTTGGACTGGTAAGCTGGAAGAGTTGTCTATGTCAATAGCTGCTCTGAGTCCACACAGGGGGACATATAAAGTACCCGGAGTAGGGGTGTCGTCGTCGTATCCGGGGACAGCACTCAAGGTAGTGTTAGGAAGCAACACTCGGTTGATGATGTGCACGATGTTGTTGCACACTCTCAGGTCGGCACTTGTGACGGTGGCATTGCTGCCGCGTCCAATGAAGTTTGTTCGGACCTGCGATGCAGAGAAGACGGACACCGACATCTGATGATTCGGCTGGAAACGTACAGAATAAAGAATACAAGCGACCAAAGAAGTAATGAAGCTAAAAGAGGCCGTGAAGGGTATGACTATGCTTACGGTGTTCCCGGTATTGACTTTATCAACAGTGATGGTGGCTCCATAAAGGCCGGTGCTGAGGACCTTGTTGTCCGAGAGCTGGTTGATGGTGAGCGGGGAACCAGGGATGATATGATACAAGATAATGCTCCCGGCGCGGTTGTTGCTGTTGACGTACCAAACATCAAAATTAGGCACATATTCATGCAGACCAGCTATCAATTATTAACACGTTCCATGCTGATGGCCATGGCTCAAATTGTCCACAAGATTTCAGTGAGGCCAAAGAGGGTTGAATCGATGTGCACGCTTACTCTCCAGTAACCTGCTCCAAAGTCAAGTTGTTTGCTTGCAGCAACGGATATAAGCCGTTTGTACCGTTGAAAGCATCATTTCTAGGTGCAAGGAGAGTGGCGTTATTTGTCTTGCTGAGTCTATCTTCGAGATCAGCTGCATCGATCACTTGTACAAAAATCGACAGATCAGGGTTATTCTTCATGGCCTGAATAAGGTCCGTGCTACACCCCTGCAGACGTCCAAGTTACGAAAAGCTCAGTAGAGGATAGCATGCCCATTACAAAGGTTCCAACACACTAGGCACTGGTCAAGTATTCTGAGGTGTAAGCCGCACAAAGTTTAGCAGAAAAAGAAAAAGAAAAAGAAAAAAAAAAAAAAAACTATTGTTCCAGCTCAGTACAGATGATTCGATGAGTTTGTGCCGGAATGTTGGAAACGCTTTGCAAACTGAAAACCGTCGGAATATTAATGAACATTTGCCATGGCACCCAGCTAAAAAGAGCCTTCTCATAACTGCTTGTCGCAGCAAAAACAAATTGTTCCAGATCACGCACATCATGCACTTATCCAACCGAGCACCGTGGATTCCATGGTCTAAAAAGATAGGTTACATGACATCTGCTGCATGGGAGAAGATCCATAGCTTTTGTTATTCTACAGCGCCTTGATTTGATAAACCTTCTCGAACTCACCTCAACCGCCGCGTAAGCTCCAGGTGCAACAGCAAGTACCAACATAACTGCAAGAACACAGCTCCGGACTGCCATCGAGTAAGCCATCTCTAGTTACTTCGAAGTCCTCAACTAGTAGCAGATTTGAGAGATAAGATGGGAGGGATGAAGTGATCGAAAACAGGACAATGTGCTCTACCCAAGTTGCACCGGAATGTATTTGAAGGATCCATGATAGCCGATTTGAATAGAAAAAAACAGTCCACGCAGGTGGGTACAGCGCCAGATGGCGTGGTAAGCTAAAATCCACAGCATTAGCTAGAGGCCACTTGGCTATTCAGGATTGGATCGCCGACCGTGTTTCTCTGACCCGTAAACCATAACTGCGAATTGCACCTTTTACCACCAGTCGTCACCCATCCAAAATCACAGGTTAGTTAACGTTAGATCACCTGGACCGGTCGCACCGATTACCGGACTACAAGACCCTGATCGGGCCGGTTCCTTTGCGTCGGATCGACACAATTGTTATTTATGGATTCACAATCGGCATCACTTCTGCCTAATATCAAACAGTACCATGCATTAATCTAAACCCTCCATTACTTTTCTTCTTTAGTTTTTCTTCACTTTTCTATCTGCTCATTGACCAAGCCCAGAGCACAGTCTGTTCGATTCCCCGTCGAAGTTTGAGAGCGCGCAATTTTTATTTTTATTTTTTATTTTATTTATTCATTTATTTAAGACAAGACAAGTGAGAGAAGGATCACATGAACTATATGCACATGGAGAGTACGGGCAAGTGTCATTGTTGCAACGACCGGGTGTGGGTCGGCCAACGTTCTCACTTCTACTCGGAAGACGAACCATGACAAAACCACAGCAAAAACGGATAACCTCCCCTCCCACCCCCATTTCACGCAATCGGAGAATGTTTTGACTGTCGAGATGGTGCTCTCTCATCTCGCCAGGCAAACAAACAAACCCCTGCTTCCCCAACTTAACAGTCGGTTGCGCTTTTCTACTATTCTTCCACAAGCCTGTAAATAAAAAAAAACACACACACAGTCTTCTTCTTCTTCTTCTTCTTCTTCTCCATCTCGGAAGTTGAGCTCCAAGCCCCACATCTCTCTCTCAACTTCTGACCTCCATCTGTACATCGCCAGATCTCTCTTCGGTTTGAGCTGCTGTGCCTTCAAACAGACCTAATCACGCACGCCCACCCACCCAACCTCGATCAGTGGAAATCGCATCATTTTTGCGACCGGCGACGAGGCTCAGGATTTTTCCAGCACACACAAAAGGTGGCGGCTTGGGAACAGCGCAGTCGACGTGGATGGACAGAACATTTCATGGTATATTATCATCCACTTCTAAACAGCCGAGTCCTGGGGTGTCCACGTGGATGAGCCACGTGGCATATGGAGAGTACACCAAGTAGCAGGATTGATTGAAGGGGCAAGGGGCTGGTTCTGGGTGACGTGGCTTGCATGGCCCTCAAATAGCCCATTCCTGACACATGCCATGTCTTCTTTTTCCCAGGATAAGGATAAAATTTCATTCTATATATATGCAAATAAATATTATTGTTATTATTGCTATTTTCTCTAGGATATGGATAAGGAATGAAAAAGTTGAGATAGTATTAGGTATCATTTTTCTCAACCTTCATGCATTGCAGCATGTTGGTTTTGAGGGTTTTTAGTAAGTGACTGGCATCTTTATTCTGTTTATTTAAAGTTCGTTAACATTTTGTTGGCCATGGAATTGGCCCATAGTTTCATGTGGCCCTTTTGCTGTTGTTGTTGTTGTTGTTTTCCTTTCACTGAAAACAGTGCCAGCTCATGCTGGTGTTTGATTGTGTAAAACTTGCTGCTCCTAAACTCTAGTAGTTTCCTAGGATATGACAACTGTATAACAACTGGCTCCATTGCATGCTGGGTATGGCTAAAATGGAGAGAGATGTCACAGATAAAAACTCATAACCTAAAACTTGGGGGAATGGAATTATCAGCTGCTCTACCCACAACAGAAGAAAATACAGAAAAACAACAGCCTTATTAATATTGTTCAAACTTATCCTCAAAGACCTGCTCCACAAGATCTGTCCACCTGCACTTCCACTCACTTTTTTGTATTATAAATGCATTCGTGTCATTACATGCCACAGTTGAGCGTTGCATTTCTGGTGTACAGTAAACAACAACAACTTTGGTGTTTTGAAAACTGTTCAACTGCAAAACTGGGGTTGTTACTGCATTGGGTCAGGCAAATACATGGCAAACTGCTTTGCAAAATAATCATAATAATAATAGTTAAAAATCAAAACACACTACTGCAGTATTGACATACAGATGCTGCAAAAATCAAAATCATGATCACTTGATACCTCAAAAATAATAAGGTCACCAATCATTACTATTATTAATTTCCTTGTCAAATTGCAGCTCTTACCTCAGTTCTGAAACTACTTTTTATTGCCAACCTTAAGGTGCAGTTTGACAAGCACCATCTATTGGACCAGTTTGTTACAATTAACATTCTTAGAGTGGTAGATAAATATGGAGCATCAGAAATTGCTTTTGTTATTTTTATTTTGGAATATAGGGAGGTGTACCCCCTTTTCTTTAGTGCATATGATTAATTAATTTATTTATTTATTATATTGGTTTCATTTCTTTTTTATAATTCTTTTATTATTTCAAGGCTTTGTTTTGGGATGAGAGATATAAACCTTCAAGGGGAAGAATTAATAGTTCTATGTGTTTAAGTTCCCATTTTAAAAAGTTCTTTTCTTATTAGTGCCAAGCTAAGATTTTGCAAAGTTCTTGAAGTGACTTTAATTGTTTTGGAATTGTATTCAAGCCATATCTTTGATCTTGTATAACTAATTCTTTCATATTCTACAAGTGTATTCTAAATCATACTTTTTAGTTTTGAGTTATTTTAACTTTCATATCTAAATATTGTGACAATGTTATATTTTTAAATTGTTTGAACATAAGAATATACTATAAATAGTTTCAATATTTTTATATCTATCATTTAAGTAAGATTATCACCAAAAATTATTTATTTTATATCAAGAGCTTGCAAAGGTCAATATGTAGGCCATATTTTGTAAAGCATGTATAACATACTTATTTCATAATTTTACATTCTAAGAGTTATTGCATAATGCCAAAATTTGTTTAAAACCATTTCGTTTATATATTTTTTTAATAAAAAGATCAAACTTACTATTAACTAGTAGAAATCCATGCCATTGGGCACATAAAGTTTATCAGTTGTTTATTTCTAATTTATCTTAGTATTCTTTTATCTATCATAGTGATGAGCTCTTAGTTTGTCTTAGTTTATCTAATTTATCTTATTGTTCTTTTATTTATCTTAGTGACATGTTCTTATAATACCTCAAATGGCCAATGAGAGGCATTTTTTCTCTCTTTTATATATCCTTTTCTAATATAAACTCAATAGAACATAAACAAGCTTATTTATTATATAGATTCTATTAGTGAGATTTTGTTTTAATGTATTTTGTACAAATCCTCATATGCCAACCTAATCAAATATGTATATATATATATATATATACATATATATATTCATGCATATTTGGTTTTGTTTTTTTTAAGAATAGATTTATTATTTTACTTGTATTTTGAATTAGAATTTTAATTTCACATATTAATTTAGATAAGAATAGAAAGAAGTTGTTTCTTAATTAATATTCTTTTTTTCTTCATATTATATTCTTTCAAATTATATAGACTAGATCAAAAAAAGATAGAATGTCATTTCATAATATACATGCGCAGTTGCAAATGAGCAAACTTTCTTATATTTATTGCTAAATAATATATATATATATATATATATATATATATATATATTTCATGTTTAAATAATCTATTGAAACTTAAATAGTAAAAAGAAACCATTAGCTTTTTCTACTATTATGTATATTCTTATTGAATATTTTTGCAATAACTTTTGATTCTTATATAATAACTCTTAACTATCAGATTTGCATCTAAAATTAAATTAAGTTTTATATAAATCAATCTTTTGTTGTGTTTAACTTTTTTTTATACTTATATACTAAAAAAATCTTTTAGAACATATTAAAGATATAATTTAGTGATCCAATTTCTATTTAATTTCTTTTTAATACTTATCATAGTATATTAGATTTTCTTAATCCTAAATTACAAGAAAGTTAGAAGACTAGACCAATCAAGTATCACTATTTAAACATCCATCTTACCAATACTTTGTTCTAAAATATTTAGATTACTATTTGAAATAAATAAACTTGTTATATCTTATAATGTCCTTTTCTTAATATTATAAAATTTCTTTCTTTGTTGAAAATATTAGATTATGCAAGAAATATTGTGATGATTATTAGTAAAATATTTTATTTTTTGGCAATCATTTCTATATGTATATATATTTTTGGATGTACATAAGTACGATGCAATGTAAATTCATGTCTCTATAATCTAAATTAAATATTACAAAGAAAGTTAAAAATTTTAAAATTGAAATATTTTAGTTTTTTATACTATACTACTTTTTTTATCAAAGAATCATAGTATTAAATTAAGCATAATATTTAAAAATAGTTTAAAAATATAAGCTATATATAAAAATAAAAATTTTATATTTTTACTCTAATTTGTATATTAGATGATTAAAAATAATAATTTAGAACTGATATTATTTTATTATAAAATTTAAAATTCATATTAAATAAAAAAAACCTTGCATATTAGTACATGCTTAGATTGAATACATATGTGTATAAATATTTAAATCTTTTTTTATTTAATTACAAAGAACTTTAGAATTATTTACTAAAAGTTATAGTTTTACCATAAAGAGTCGATTTTGCAAACATTCACTATTTTTTATTTTTTTAATGCTACTATTGATATCTAATTAATTAAAGGATACATCTTATTATGGCTATGTTTTCAAAATCATAGCTAAGAATTCAATGATTATTAGGAACTTATAATATATTTTATATACAAAGAACAATCTAATACAAGTATTATTATTATTAATTGCTATTAATACTAAATAATCAAATTCAAGTTTGTATCCAAATTATATAATCTTCAAATAAATGCAATTGCTTTATACATTCTATTCAGTCTTACTTAGATAAAACAATTCCTAGACTTGCACCATGTAGATAAGTACCACTTTGT